TATAATTACCGTCACCACTAACCTGGTCAGAGATTCAGTGTAGCATGTGGTTTATATGCTCAGTCTCATTTAATTATCGCTAATGTTTTGAGGGAAGTACTATGATCCCATTCAAGAAAGGAGGGGCCAGGCTGGGCGTGGTGGCTCACGCCTGTAATCCCTGCACTTTGGGAGGCTGAGGCGGGCAGATTACAGGGTCAGGAGTTTGAGACCAGCCCAGCCAACATGGTGAAACACCATCTCTACTAAACATACAAAAATTAGCCGGGTGTGGTGGTGGTTGCCTGTAGTCTCAGCTACTCGGGAGGCTGAGGCAGGGAATTGCTTGAACCCAGGAGATGGAGGTTGCAGTGAGCTGAGATCATGCCATTGCACTCCAACCTGGGTGACAGTGAGACTCTGTCTCAAAAAAAAAAAAAAAAAGAAATGGAAAAACAGGGAGAGACCTTGAGCTCATACCTACCACACTATGGTGGATGTGCTGATGGGTAAGAGTTTGCACGTGGGAGTAGTATTTTCACTCACTCATTCACTCATTCATTCATTCATTCATTCATTTTGAAAATTGTAGCAAATTATACATCACAGAAATGTACCACCTTCATCATTTTGAAGAATGCGTTTCGGCAGTGGTAAGTACACTCACGTTGCTTTGCAACCAGTCTCCAGAACTCTTTCATCTTGCAAAACGGAAACTCTGTACCCGTTAAATCACTCCACATCCCCACACCCTCCAGCCTGGCAAGTACCATGATACTTTCTCTTTGAATTTGATAATTCCAGGTATTTCATATAAGTGGAATCATACAGTATGTCTTTTTGTTACTGACTTATTTAGCTTAGTATAATGTCCTCCAGGTTTTTCTATGTGTATAGCATGTATCATAATTCATTTCCTTTTCAAGGCTGAATAATATTCCATGGTATGTATATAGCACATGTTGTTTATCCATTCATCTGTCAATGGCCATTTGGGTATTCCTACTTTTTGGCTATTGTGAACAATGCTACTATGAAGACGAGTGTATGAATATCTACTTGAGTCCCTGCTTTTTTTTTTTTTTTTTTTTGAGACGGAGTTTCACTGTTGTTACCCAGGCTGGAGTGCAATGGCACAATCTCGGCTCACTGCAACCTCTGCCTCCTGGGTTCAGGCAATTCTCCTGCCTCAGCCTCCTGAGTAGCTGGGACTACAGGCATGCGCCACCATGCCCAGCTAATTTTTGTATTTTTAGTAGAGATGGGGTTTTACCTTGTTGACCAGGATGGTCTCGATCTCTTGACCTCGTGATCCACCCACCTCGGCCTCCCAAAGTGCTGGGATTACAGGCATGAGCCACTGCACCTGGCCCCCCTGCTTTTAATTCTTTTGGGTCTATCCCCAGTAGTGGCATTGCTGGATCATATGATGATCCTGTGTTTAGTTTTTTAGAAAGCTCTGTACTGTTTCCATAGCCACTGCACCATTTCACATTTCTACCATCAGTGCACAAGGATTCCAGCTTCTCCACATCCTTCACAACACTTGTTATTTTACCTGTTTTTGAGATGGAGTCTCGCTCTGTCGCCAGGCAAGAGTGCAGTGGTTTGATCTTGGCTCACAGCAATCTCTGCCTCCAGGGTTCAAATGATTCTCCTGCCTCAGCTTCCCAAGTAGCTGGGTCTACAGGCGTGAGTCAGCACGCCGGCTAATTTTTGTATTTTTTGTAGATTCAGGATTTCACCATGTTGACCAGGATGGTCTTGAACTCCCTGACCTCAAGTGATCCACCCGCCTCAGCCTCCCAAAGTGCTGGGGTTACAGGCATGAGCCACCGTGTCCAGGATATTAATTTTTGATAGTAGCCATACTAAATGATATGAGATGGTATTTCATTGTGGTTTTCATTGCTTTTCCCTAATGATTAGTGAAATTGAACATCTTTTTTTCATGTGCTTGTGGCCTATTCAATCTTTTTTTTTTTTTTTTGAGACCCAGTCTCGCTCTGTCACCCAGGCTGGAGTGCAATGGCGAGATCTCAGCTCACTGCAACCTCTGCTTCCCAGGTTCAAAGAATTCACCTGCCTCAGCCTCCCAGATACCTGGGACTACAGGTGTGCACCACCACACCCAGCTAACTTTCACATATTTAGTAGTAATGGGGTTTTACCATGTTGGTCAGGCTGGTCTCAAACTCCTGACCTCAGGTGATCCACCCAACTTGGCCTCCCAAAGTGCTGGGATTACAGGCGTGAGCCACTACACCTGGCTCATTCATTCATTATTTCATTAGAAATACTTACTAAGCATTCAGTAGGTACTAGGCACTGTTCTAGGTGCTGGTAATACAGTGTTGAACAGCCCAGATGCTCACATTCGTGATGTGTGTTTGCGTTTTGCTGCCACCATCCATCAGCTGTGAAATGATGACCCCTTTCTGTGCCTCGGTTTCCACATCTGGGTAATGTGTACCATATATCAACTGCTATCAACTGAGCACTTAATTGTATTTCAGGCAAAGTGCCAAATCTCCACCTGGACCCAGTCCATCATATCAGTCCCATGAGATAGGTCCTGTTCTGTGTGTGTGTGTGTGTGTGTTTGAGACAGAGTCTTGCTCTGTCGCCAGGCTGGAGTGCAGTGGCTTGATCTTGACTCACTGCAGTCTCCGCCTCCTGGGTTCAAGCGATTCTCCTGCCTCAGCCTCCTGACTAGCTGGGACTACAGGCACACCCTACCACGCCCAGCTAAATTTTGTATTTTTAGTAGAAATGGAGTTTCACCCTGTTAGCCAGGATGGTCTCAGTCTCTTGACCTCATGATCTGCCTGCCTTGGCCTCCTAAAGTGCTGGGATTACAGGCGTGAGCCACCACGCCCTGCTGTTCTCTGCATTTTACAGGTGGGGATACTGAAGCAAGTTGGCCTATGTAACACCAGCAAGGACACAGAATAAGGAAGTGGCAGAGGCCAGCATGGTGGCTCACGCCTGTCATGCCTGTCAGGCAGGCAGATCACCTGAACTCAGGAGTTTGAGACCAGCCTAGGCAAACTGGGCAACATGGAGAAACCCTGTCTCTACAACAAATGGAAAAATTATCTGGGCATGGTGGCACTACTCGAGAGGCTGATGCAGGAGGATCACTTGAGTCCAGGAGGGGGAGGTTGCAGTGAGCCGAGATTGCACCACTGCACTCCAAACTGGGGCAACAGAGGGAGACCCTGTCTCAAAAAAAAAAAAAAAAAAGATGCTCCAATGTCTAACATTTGGCCACCATAAGACACAAACCGCATGATGTTTCATAGGACTCTTGGGAGCAGTCAGATGAGTTGGCCCACCTAGGAAGCACCCAACGCACGTTAGCCCGTGGCAGTATTACTCCCTTTGTATTTATTCTTCCCAGTTCCTCCTCTATCCCTATTCTTTGCCCCACTGTCCTTTGGTGGCCATGGTCTGCCTCTGATCTCCCCTTCTGCTATGCTTATATGCATTCATTCATTCTTCATTCAACCTTCATTTCTTTCTTTACTTTTTCCTTTTTGAGATGGAGTCTCGCTCTGTCCCCCCCGCTGGAGTGCAGTGGTGCAAACTTGACTCACTGCAACCTCCGCCTCCTCGGTTCAAGTGATCCTCCTGCCTCAGCCTCCCGAGTATGTGGGATTACAGGCGCCCGCCACCACACCCAGCTAATTTTTGTATATTTAGTAGAGATGGGGTTTCACCATATTGGCCAGGCTGGTCTCGAACTCTCGACCTCAAGTGATCCATCTTCCTTGGCCTCCCAAAGTTCGGGGATTACAGGCGTGAGCCACCGTGCCTGGCCTCAACCTTCATTTCTTGAGGTCTCCTATGTGCCAGGCCTAGTGCCAAGAAATGCTGGCACACAGAAATCGGACTCCCATGCCCTACCCCCTCCAGGAACTCCCAGCTTGCCAAGGACAAAGATGATCATCGATCAACTAATGCATGTCCCACGGGGCACCTAAGAGCAGGAAACGGACCCAAGTTTGGTGGGAGGAATGAGTGCGTGTGTGTGCGTGTGTGTCTATGTGTGTGTCTAGGGAAAGCTTCCTAAAGAAGGTGCCTCCTCAGCTGCCTGCTGCAGGTAAGTACTACATCAGCAAGGAATGTGAGCAGAATGTTCCACAGCGTGGGTAGAGGCCTGCAAAACTGGACAGAGCTGGGCAGTTAAGAAAACCACATTTTTTATATTTTTAATTTTTTCTCCAGCTATGTGCTAGAGGTAGTAAAACATTAACTGTTCCCAAGGATGAGCAGATAGATGAGGATGGGCATCTTAGGAGGGGATGGAGATGAGGCTGCGTGACCCCTAGAGGCATACTCCATCCCCTCCACACACCTCTGCTTCCTTCAACCACTCCATCTCTCTCCAGAAGGTTACAGGTTCCCTGCAGAAACAGACTGGAACTTCTCTCCCTCTCTCTCTACCCTCCCGCCTCCCTTCAGCTCTCTCCACGCAGGACTGGAGACTACAACTCCCATGATCCACTGCGACTGCTCTTCTCACAACTGGACTCCAGACTTCACAGGGCCTCATGGGAAATGTAGTCCTCATCGTCTTCCGCATCCCTTTGTTTTTTTTCCCACGCATTTCCAGACTTTCCAACCAATTTGGAGGTGGAAAGGCGTCTTGCTATTGTTGAAGCCAACAATACCTTCTTTCTTACAGAGGTGGGAGTCGAAGTCCAGAGTGCTGGAGCAACTGAGCGCAGCTTACAGGGCCAAGGTCTGTGGCCTTGCTGTGAGTGCTGGAAAGATGTTAGACTTTGGGGTTTTTTTCTTGCTTTTCTTCTTTTCCTTAACAGGCAGGGAAACAGACCGGAGAAGTTGAAAGTTTGTCCCATATCACGAGTCGGGCTCAGGAGCCAGGACTTGCGGTCTCCCAAGCAGCCCAGAGAGAGAAGGGGTTTGGGGGAAGGGCAGGGTCTGTTGTAAGTGGGGTTGCCCAGCCCCCAACCCTGAAGTACCTGCCCCCACCACTGCCCTCCCCGCTCCTCCAGGGTTGAAAAGAGGCGTCTGCGTGAAGATCAATCATTTCCCGGAGGATACGGACTACGACCACGACAGCGCGGAGTATCTACTCCGTACGTGGGGGTCCGGGACAGACGTGGGGAGTGGGGAAATCGCGGGGCCTGGAGGGCGTCGGGGAGGGCGCCCCGTGAAGGGACTGGGGCCCCGGCACTTGGATCGACACGCCGAGGTTTAGCTTCCCAGCCAATCCGAGTCCAGATGGTGAGATCCTCTGGTTCCCGATTGGCTGCATGCTCTTGCTCCCGCCCCCTCCTCTCACCTTGGGGCGGGCTGAGGGAGGATCCCGGGCGCCGATTGGCTGCCTTGCTCTCTCGGAGCCTCGCGGCCACTCTGCGCCGTGACTGGTTGTGGATTCCCGGGCTGGGATTGGCTGCCGCGCCCCAGGGCTGTGGGGCAATCTCCGGCGGGGATGGGCCACTCCCGGGAGCCCGCTGGGAAAGCCTGTGTTGCCATTGGTAGCTACCCCGAGAACGCGGCAAATCCTAAATGATGATTGGCTGCGGCCTCAGCCAGGCTCCGAAATTGCAAAATCTGGTTGCCTGGGGTTTTACGGGTGGGTGGAAAGGAAGGACTGCAGAGAAAGAGAGAAGCGGGGCGGGCGGAGAGAGAGATTAGGGGAAGAAGGGAGGGAGGAAAAGAGGGAGAGAGACTCGGCTGGAGGAAGCCAGGCCTAAAGGGAGTGGGGAGCGAGGGAAGGAGGAATGGAGTGGAGAGAAGAGAAACCCGGAAGATTGAAGAAGCCTGGCAGAAAAGGAGGGGAGAGAGACCCAGAAAGACAGAAGAGATCGGGCAGAAAAAGGGGCAGGGGGAGAGAACGAGGAAGACAGATGAGGCCAGGCAGAAAAAAAGAGGGGGGAGAGAGCTAGGAAGATAGGTGAGGCCAAGCAGAAGAAAAGAGGGGGGCTTAGGAAGACAGATGAGGCCAGGCAGAAACAAAGACGGGGGAGAGAGCTAGGAAGATAGGTGAGGCCAAACAGAAAAAAAGAGGGGGGACTTAGGAAGACAGATGAGGCCAGGCAGAAAAACGGGAGGGGGACTAGGAAGACAGATGAGGCCAGGCAGAAAAAAAGAGGGGGGAGAGAGCTAGGAAGATAGGTGAGGCCAAACAGAAAAAGAGAAGGGGAACTTAGGAAGACAGATGAGGCCAGGCAGAAAAACGGGAGGGTGGAGAGAGCTAGGAAGATAGGTGAGGCCAAGCAGAAAAAAAGAGGGGGAAGTTAGGAAGACAGATGAGTCCAGGCAGAAAGGGGTGGGGGTGGGGTAGGAAGACAGATGAGGCCAGGAAGGTAAGAAGAGAGAGGGGAGACAGACCCAGAAAGATAGATGAAGCCACGCAGTAAAACGAGGGACGGAGCAGGGAGAGAAGGGAAGAGAAACTCAGAAATAGATTCAGCCTGGTAGAAAAGAGACGAGGAGGGAGGAAGGAAGGTAGAGAGAGAGAAAAAACCAGACCGATGAAGCGAGGCAGAAAATGGGAGGGGGTGTGGAGAGCGGCAGTAAGTGACTTGCGGGATATGGAGAAAGAAATTCTCAGACGAGAGGAAGGGAGGGACGAGAAAGAAAGGGAGAGGATTCATGGAGAAGTTGAGAGAAAACCCGGCAAAGTGATTAAAAGTGGGAGAACTATTCCTGGAGAGAGAAAAAACAGTCCGAAGTAGAAAGAAAAGAACAAAGAAAAAAAGGGAAAGGAAATCAGACCGAGAAATAGAGAAACTTTAAAAACAGGAGAGAGAATCAGGCAACAGTAAAATCAAACACACAGAACACAGCCGGAGAGGGAGGAGGACAGAACTGGCGGGAGGCGCCGCGAGATGGGGGGCCGGGAAGGGGGCACAGGCGGCCGCCTCTGACCGCCCTGGCTCTCGCTCCTTTTCCTTTCTTTCCTCTCCCGCAGGGGTCGTCCGGGCCTCCAGCATCTTTCCCATCCTTAGCGCCATCCTGCTGCTGCTCGGGGGTGTGTGCGTGGCGGCCTCTCGCGTCTACAAGTCCAAGAGGAACATCATTCTGGGCGCGGGGATCCTGTTCGTGGCAGCAGGTGAGAGGCAGAGGGAGGGGGCGGCCGGGGCGGCCTACCTGCGCGCGCACGTGTGTGCGCGTGAGTGCATGTGCGTGTGTGTGTGTGTGTGTGTACAAAGCCACCCTGCCCCGAGCACCCCCGGGGGCCCGGAGCCTTCCTAGGCGGTTCCCAAGCGCCATCGCCACCCGCTGGGTAAGGTGGGTGTAGTGACGCCTTCGCAGGAGGGAACCAGCACAGACAGGTGTCTGGCACGTAAGATACCGAGCGCTTAAGATCCTAAACCCGCCGTCCTGGAGACGGAAGGGGAGGAGCTGGGGGAGGGACCTGGAGACAGAATTGGGCTCTAGAGGCTAGAGAGGCGGGGCTGGGCCTTGGAGGGCGGGTCCAGGAGAGGGAGAAAGTTATCTGGGCGCGCCCCTTAGGAAACCTTAGTGGATCCAAGAGTGGGGGCTGGTCCTGGGAAACCGTCCCGGGAAGTGGAGACTAAAGGGGTTGGACCAGGGAGACTGAATCGGGCCCGTGCCCGTTGCCATTTGGAGAAGGAGAGGCTAGAAAAGACGGGGAGCTGCCTGGAAAAGCCAGGAGGGGAGGGGTTATGTCCTTAAGGGCACAGAGAGTCAATCTGGCTGATTCAAGCCAGAGGCCGACCAAAGCCAGGCAGTATCTGGGATTGGCCGTCTCAAGAGTTAGGGCCTGGACGAGCAGAGAGCTAGGGCTGGAACACTCAAGAGGCACGACATGAAAGGGGTAAGACCTCCTTTCTACCCTGCATGAGTAGCACTGGGAAATTCCAGGGGCAGAGCTTTTTTGGAGAAGTAGAATACAGAGAAGGAGTGCTTTGCATATTTAAATAGCAGGATGGCCGCGCGCGGTGGCGCAAGCCTGTAATCCCAGCACTTCGGGAGGCAGATGCGGGCGGATCACCTGAGGTCAGGAGTTTGAGACCAGCCTGGCCAACATGGTGAAACCCCGTCTATACTAAAACTATAAAAAAATTAGCCGGGCGTGGTGCCGCGCGCCTGTAATTCCAGCTGCTTGGGAAGCTGAGGCAGGAGAATCGCTTGAACCCGGGAGGCGGAGGTTGCAGTGAGTTGATATCGCGCCATGGCACTCCAGCCTGGGCGACAAGAGCGAAACTCCATCTAAAAAAAAAAAAAAGAAGAAGAGCAGGTTATACTTTGGGGATGGGTCTAGATCTGCAAAGTTTGGGGCTTGGAGGACCTGAAAGTCCGGAGTAGCGGCACCTGGGACCAGGGAGGGCCCTGGCCAAGAGCTGCATGGGGCGGGGTTTGGTAAACTGGAGGTGGGCCTAGAGTAGAAGGCGGGGCCTGCTTTATCAAGGGGAAATTTTTGACCAGCAGCGGAGGGCCTAGAATGGATACTCCAGCAGGAATTATATGATGAAGAGAGAGTTTAGGTAAGCGATAGGCAGGGCCTGGTCACAGCGGGATGACATCATTAACAGAGTTCAAAGGAGCAGAGGGGCGGGGCTTGGGGAAAACCCAGGTTTATAACGTTAAGGGTGGCGTTAGACTAACTAGGGCAGGGCCTGGAAACTCATCTCATCAAAGGTGGGTTTTAGACCAGTCAGAGCAGGGCCTAGACTAGCTGCCGTGGATTACCACCAGCCAGATGGGGTTTAGACCGGCAGAGGTGGGACCTTAGCTAGAGGAGTGGGGTTGATGCCAAGTGGGGGCAGCCCAGACCATCTGGGGGTGGGTCTTAGACCACATAGGGCTGAGTTTAGACCAGCCTGGGCTGGGTTAGGCCAGCAGAGGTGGGGCCTGGGCTCTCCCGGGGCAGGACCTGGACCATCCAGGGCCATGTCGGAACCATTCAGAGCAGGGCCTGGACCACCTGAGGGTGGAGTTTAGACCCTGAGATGGGACTTGAACCAGCCAGGGCCAGGACTATCTAGGATGCTGTCTGGACCATTTGGGGTCCTAGACCAGCTGGGGCTTAGTTTAGACCAGACAGGGCTGGGTTAGACCAGCACGGGGGTGGGGCGGAGTCGCTAGGCCATCGGGGGTAGGACCTGGACCACCTGGGGTTGTGACCATCTGTGGGGGTGCTCAAGCCTATCGGGGTCAGGACCACGCATGATGCGGTCTGGACCTTAGGCGGCCCTCCACCACCTGGGGGAGGGGGTTTAGATCAGCCGGGGCTGGGCTAGCTGGGACTGGACCTGAGCCCTCTGAGCTGGAGCGTAACCGGCAGGCAGAGCCCGGAGCATTGGACGGGGAGGGGCGTTCACTTCCGGCAGGACTTGGTCAGCCACATCCAGGACGGGGTGTAGCCCACTTCTGGGTGGGGCCCAGAAGCGCCAGGGGGAGGTGCCAGGGCCCGCTGGCGCCTGCGGACCCGGGCCGGGGGCGGGGCCGGGGCCGGGGCCGGGGGTGGCCTCGAGGCTCCCGTCTGACCGTCCCCGCCCAGGCCTGAGCAACATCATCGGCGTGATCGTGTACATCTCGGCCAACGCGGGCGAGCCGGGCCCGAAGCGGGACGAGGAGAAGAAAAACCACTACTCGTACGGCTGGTCCTTCTACTTCGGCGGGCTGTCGTTCATCCTGGCCGAGGTGATCGGCGTGCTGGCCGTCAACATCTACATCGAGCGCAGCCGCGAGGCGCACTGCCAGTCTCGCTCGGACCTGCTCAAGGCCGGCGGGGGCGCGGGCGGCAGTGGCGGGAGCGGCCCCTCGGCCATCCTCCGTCTGCCCAGTTACCGCTTCCGCTACCGCCGCCGCTCCCGCTCTAGCTCCCGCTCCAGCGAGCCGTCGCCGTCGCGGGACGCGTCTCCTGGCGGCCCCGGGGGCCCGGGCTTCGCCTCCACGGACATCTCCATGTACACGCTCAGCCGCGACCCCTCCAAGGGCAGCGTGGCCGCGGGGCTGGCGGGGGCCGGCGGCGGCGGCGGCGCCGTGGGGGCGTTCGGCGGCGGCGCGGCGGGGGGCGGCGGGGGCGGCGGCGGCAGCGGCGGGGCGGGCGCCGAGCGGGACCGCGGGGGGGCGTCCGGCTTCCTGACGCTGCACAACGCCTTCCCCAAGGAGGCGGGCGGCGGCGTCACGGTCACGGTCACCGGGCCGCCCGCCGCGCCCGCGCCCCCCGCGCCCCCCGCGCCCTCCGCGCCCGCCCCCGGGACCCTGGCCAAGGAGGCCGCCGCCTCCAACACCAACACGCTCAACAGGAAAACCACGCCCGTGTAGGGAGCCGAGGGGCGTGTCCGGGGCGCGTGCGCGGGCGCGCGTGCATCGAGGCTGCCGGGGTCGGGGGCGCCCCCGCTGTCCCCCGTGAGCGCTCTGGAGACTGCTGGGCCCGCCCCCGTCCCCGCTTCCCGTCCCGCTCCTCCTCCGAAGCAGGAACCCCGAGGGAGGGCGCAGGGGAGGGAGGGGGCCGCCGCGAGGGAGCGTCGTGTTTTATTTTTTTGTGGGATCTGTGGGGAGGGGGGGAGGGCCACGGTGTTTTTTGCAGTTTCGAGATGTTTTCTTTTTCATGTTTTGCTGTGTGCATGGGGGGCGGGGCGGGGGGAGGGGAGGGAGGGACTCCCAGCCCAGCCCAGCCCAACTCCTGGAGAGGGGCCCATAACACACGAATACATAGTTACATCCGCAAACTATATATATGCCCTATATAAAGAGACACAGCGAAGGGACGCGGAAAAGCAGAGAGAAGGGTTGGACGCGGGCATTCATTCATTTTCTTCATTCATTATTCCACAAGGGCTTATTAAGCGCCTACTGTGTGCTAGGCACTGGTACATGAGGCCACCTTGGAGCAGGGGACTCGAACGATGCACAGAAAGGGCCTCGTCATTCATTCATTACCTGCGATGAATTTGTGCGCTTTAAAGAGCTAGGCATTGTGCTCCCCGCTCAGCGTGCAGGAGGCGGGAAAGCAGCCAGGGGCCCCGACATCCTCATAGAATAACATCTTGTGCATGAGAGGCATTAATCGGTCATGTACATACGCAACAAATTACAGTTAGGCCATAGGAGAAACGAGATGCTATGAAATGCTCCATCACGGCAGCCTAACCCCGTTCAGAGGGAGAGATTTCAGTGGACACCGAACGGATGAGAAGAAGCCGGCACGGCAGAGCTGGAGTGGAGTGTGGCAGGCAGAGCAGCAGGTCCAAAGGCCCTGAGGCAGGAAGGAGCTTGCAGCCAGGGCTGAAGCCTATGAGCCAGGTGACTGTGGAACAAGATGAGTCTGGAGACGCAGACAGGGCCACTTTATACAGGGGCTCGTAGGTCAGGAGTCTAGATTTTATTCTAGGGGCAGTGAGGGCCGTAGAATGGGTTTAAGCAGGAGCCTAATGTGAATGGTGTACAAAGGGAAGACAGGAACTTGGAGACGAGAGTAAGAGGCAGAGAGGCACTGAAATACAGCATCGAACCCAGGCGCTGGCCCTTGGAGCTCACGCTTTCATGGGAGGAAGCACATAATTACCCACGTATTGAAGCATAGGGATGGTGTCTGGTGTGCAGAAGAAACCCTGGGGCACAGAGACTCGTGTCCATTCATTCATTCATTCGTTCAGCCACTCGCCCATTGCCATTTTCGAATATCTGCTAAGGTACCAGGAAGTGTGTGAGGATCCAGATCCCCAGATCAGGGGTGACACAGACCCTAGCCCTGCTCTCAAGCAGTTTATTATCATCAAATGTTGTCATCCCGTCAGAGCAATCAGTGCTGAACAGGGACTATAACGGGTGCCATGGCACACGGTGGACAGATTGACCAGCTGCCAGGAGCGGGCGGCACTTGGGGGAGGCTTCCTGGAGAATAGGACGGCCATCCTGGGTCTTGAAGAGATGAGTGGGTGTCTCCCGGGTGATGATGGGCATAAGAAAGACTTGTGGGGCCAAAGAACAACTTGGGTGAAAACCTGGGAAAGTACATGACGTATTGGGGTCAGTGCTAATAGTTCTGGGATGCTCATATACAAGGCGGGGCTGGAAGATGAGACCAGGAAAGTAGCCACAAGCCAGAGTCTGAAGGTGCCAGTGTAGCCAGGCACAGTGGCTCATGCCTGTAATCCCAGCACTTTGGGAGGCTGAGGCTGGAGGATCACTTGAGCCCAGGAGTTGGAGACCAGCCTGGATATTATGGCGAAACTCTGTCTCCACAAAACAAAAAAATTAGCCGGGCGTGGTGGAGCACACCTGTGGTCACTGCCACTCAGGAGCCTGATGCAGGAGGATCACTTGAACCCAAGAGTTCGAGGCTGCAGTAAGCTAGGATTGCGGCACTGCACTCCAGCCTGAGCAGAGGCTGGATGAGACCCTGTTTCAGAAAGAAAAGAGGAAAAGGTGCCTGAGTTCCAGGTGGAGGGATTGAGGCTTGATTCTAAGGATGACAGTCGAGCTGGGGTGGAGAGGAGGGGATGGGTTTGAAGGTCACTGAGAAAGCAGAGGGGCTGTGCTCAGTAGGTTCCCTTCTGCGTTTGCTCAGCACGTATTTCCCGAGGCCTCCCTGTGCCAGGCCTTGTGTTGGACGGTGTTGAGAGTGTAGAGGTGATTTTGATCTTGCCCTGCTCTCAAGGGGCTCCCAGTCTGGGAAAACAGCCGCAGACGCAATATGAGGAGGGCGGTGGCAGTGATGGTGCCAGGCTGCCAGGGTCTGTGCCGGCCTTTATCTTGAGCATATGGGGCTGTGGGGGGGTTCAGGTCAGAGTGTTCAGAATTCCTTTCCAAGGCCTGTGTGGAAGGACCAGGAAGAGAGAGACTGAAAGTCAAGGTCTCTAGGAAGAATTCTGCCAAGGCTGTTTCAGGAAGAGATGTTGGGAAATGCAGGAAAAGGAATAGCAATCATTGAGATAGAGAAGCGCTGAGAGGATACGTGGAGGGGGCAGGGATGCAGGACGTGGCGTTGAAACGCAGTGGCTCCTAATCCCAGCACTTTGGGAGGCCGAGGCAGGTGGATTGCTTGAGCCCAGGAGTTCCAGACCAGCTAACATGTTGAAATCTTGTCTCTACCAAAAATACAAAAATTAGCCGGGTGTGGTGGTGCATGCCTGTAGTCCCAGCCTGGAAGGGTGAGTCTGCAGTGACCCGTGATGGCATCACTGCACTGTAGCCTGGGCAAAAGAGCAAGACTCTTGTCTCAAAAAAAGAGAGAGAGAGAGAGACAGCAAATCTTTGCTGGAAGAGGACTGGTTAGGGGAGAGTGGATTCTAGAGTCTGAAGGCCAAACAGAATGAGAGAAAGAGAGAGAGAGGTGGAAGGTGGGCAGGAGGAAGAGTGAGATGGGGAGGAGGGAGTGCAGGGGAGGAGGGGGAGGGCAGCAGAGACCAAAACTAGTTGAGTCCCAGAGAAAAAGTAAAAGACAGGAAGGTGATAGAGAAAAGAGAGAAAAGGAGGAGAGAGACTGACAGGCGCACAAATCAGAGAAGCCCCAGAGATAACAAAAACACAACCTCAGAGCTAGAGACAGAGGGGGAGAGGGAGCTGGAGAAAGACAGAGATGGCCCGGCGCGGTGGCTCACGCCTGTCATCCCAGCACTTTGGAGGCCAAGGCAGGTGGATCACTTGAGGTTAGGAGTTCAAGACCAGCCTGGTCAACATGGTGAAACCCCGTCTCTACTAAAAATAACAAAACTAGCCAGGTGTAGTGGCACATTCCTGTAATCCTAGCTACTTGGGAGGCTGAGGCAGGAGAATCACTTGAACTCGGGAGGCGGAGGTTGCAGTGAGCCAAGATGGCGCCACTGCACTCCAGCCTGGGCAACAATAGCGAAGCTCCATCTCAAAAAAAAAAAAACAACCTCAGAGATTCATGCAAAAAGCAACATGGAGACTCAGAAGCAAGCATAGCGTCAAGGAATGATCCATTTCTTGTGCTTTTCCCCCAGTATTCAAGAATATTTATTGAGTGCCAACTCGTTCCAGACCCAGTCTAGGCCCAGCAGATGTGGCAAACAGACGGACAAGGGTCTGCTCTCCTGAAACTCACCAGAGAGATAAACAATAAATAATATTTCAGTAACTGAAAAGTGCTCTAAAAATTAAGCTGGGAGGTCAGGTGCAGTGGCTCACGTCTGTAATCCCAGCACTTTTCGAGGCCAAGGCCGGTGGATCACTTGAGGTCAGGAGTTCGAGACCAGCCTGGCCAACCTGGTGAAACTCCATCTCTACCAAAAAATAAAAAATTAGCCGGGTGTGGTGGTGCGCCTGTAGTCCCAGCTACTTGGGAGGCTGAGGATGGAGAATCACTTAAACTCAGGAGGCAGAGGTCACAGTGAGCTGAGATCACACCACTGCACTCCAGCCTGGGCAACAGTGAGACTCCATCTCAAAAGAAAACCCCAAAATTAGGAGCAGGGCATAGTAACAGAATGACAGAGCAAGGGTGACTTTAGATGAAGTGGCTCGCAGAGACATGGATTGTGAGAAGGAGAGAGGTGAGAAAGTCTGGTGCCAGGCATTTGCCCACGAGAGGCAGCCCCAAAGCCCTGAGGAGCAGCAGGTCTTCCAGGGGGCCGGTGTGGTGAGCAGATCCAGGATAGGTCAGAAGCACAGGGTAGAGGCTGATCAGTTAGGGCCGTGGGCCCCAGGAAGAAATCTGAATTTTATTCTAGATTTGATGGGAAGCCCTCAGAGGGTTCTGAGCACAGGCATGTCATGATCATATTTTTATTTTTTTATTTATTGATGTTTATTTTGAGAAAGAGTCTTGCTCTGTCTCAGGCTGGAGTCCAGAGGCCGATCTCGGCTCACTGCCAACCTCCACCTCCCGGGTTGAGGTGATTCTCCTGCCTAAGCCTCCTGAATAGCTGGGATTACAGGCATGTGCCACAACACTCGGCTAATGTTTTTGTATTTTTAGTAGACACGGGATTTCACCATGTTGGCCAGGCCTATCTCGAATTCCTGGCTTCAAATGATCCATCGGCCTCGACCTCCCACAGTGCTGGGATTGCAGGCGTGAGCCACTGCGCCCGGCTTCACGTTTTTATTTAAACAAGAAAAGCAGAATAACATCGCTGTGCTGAGCATACGTAGACCTCAGGAGTCCAAGTGGAAGGAGGGGGTAGCCGGCTGTTGCCTTCCTCTGGTTGAGGCTGCTAGAGGCCTGGACCACGGTGGAGTTAGTGGGGTGGAGAAAGAAGTGGAAGAAGGGCGTGGAATTTTGGAGGCAGAGACTGCAGTGTTGGTGAACTGGATGTCACAGGGGAGGGAAGGAAAAGGAACCAGGAAGAGAAGAACTGTTTGAAATTGGACACGCATGTCTCTGGTGGGCACTGATGCGTATTGTTAGCAGGAGAGGGAAGACTGGGATCAGGAAAGAGGCTTTGGGAGGGACAAACCAAGGCCTCTCTTTTGGATGTGTTGAGTTAGAGACACCTTCGAGAAATCCAAGCTGGGGTATCGAATAGCCGGTTGGATACGTGAGACTGGAGTTTTGGGGAAAGAGAGGTCATGGCTCAAAATTGTAAGTTTTGGAAGCGTCAGCATGTAGGGGACATTTGACGCCACAGGACTGGGTGACATGGCCCAGCAGGTGAGTGGGGACAGAGAATGACCCTGGCCAGATCCTTGGGGAAGAAGGGGGTATAGCAAAGCGAGCTTAGGAGGACGGCGAGGTAGGCGAGGGTCATGGAGGACAAATGGACATTGGTGTTTCAAGAAGGGGAGGAGACAGCTGGCTGTGCCAAGTGCCACTGAGAATTGGAGAAGGATCCAGAGAGCACAGTGACCATTAGGTTTGATGACGTGGATGGGGTTGGCGGTCTTGGTAAGAGGCCAGTGCAGTGCAGTAGTGGGGACGGAAGCCTTGCTGGAGTGGAGAGGAGAGAGAATTTGGGGGAAGGCAGAGGGAAAGGGAATTCAGGCAATTGTGTGTGTGTGTGTGTGTATGTAATTGACACAGAGGCTGGGCACAGTGGCTCACGGACTGTAATCCCACCACTGCGGGAGGCCAAAGTGGGTGGACTACTTGATGTCAGGAGTTCGAGACCAGCCTGGCCAACATGGTGAAACCCCATGTCTACTAAAAATGCATAAATTAGCCAGGTGTAGTGGTGGGTGCCTGTAGGCCCAGCTACTTGAGAGGTTGGGGCAGGAGAATCTCTTGGGTCCAGGAGGAAGAGGCTGCAGTGAGCTGAGATCACACCATTGTACTCCAGCCTGGGTGACAGCGAGACTCTGTCTCAAAAAAGAAGAAAAGTAAAAAAAAAAAAAAAAAAAAAAAAGACCCTGAAAGGAAACAGGGAGAAATGCAGATAGGGAGACAGAAGGCAGAAAAATGCACCCTGCGATTAGCTGTCACAGCAGGCAGGAGCCAGAGAGATGGGGAGGCCCAGGGCCGGGAGGGGAAGATGAATCGGGGGCGGGGAAGAGGGGATGCCGTCAGCGAGGCTCTGGCAGATCTGCTCTGCCCGGCTCCTGTCTCTTGCTGCTGTCAGCGCCAGGCACGCTCTGGGATTCCCCCTGTAGACCCTGTGAAGACCTCGTGAGGTGAAGGGGAAGAACAGGTTTTCATCATTCATTTTCAGAAATAAGCATTCATGCAGTTCTTGGAAATACATACTGGCCAGGCAGCGGCTCATGCCTATAATCCTAGCACTTTGGGAGGCCAAGACAGGAGGACTGCTTGAGACTTGGTGTTTGAGACCAGCCTGGGCAATATAGTGAGACCCCGTCTCTACAAAAATAGAAAATTAGCCGCAGCATGGTGGCTGACACCCGCAGTCCTAGGTACGCAGGCGGCTGAGGCGGCAAGACTGCTTGAGCCCAGGAGTTTGAGGTTGCAGTGAGCTGTGATTGCACCAGTGCAGTTCAGCCTGGGCCACAGAGTAAGACCCTGTCTCAGAAGGAAAAAGAAAAGAAATAAAAATAAAAAAATATTTCCTGAGGACTTCCAAGTACCAGGCTCTGCAATCTCAGAGCCACCTCTATTCCATCTCTGCCCTTGGAGGGGGGCTGGCCAGGGAGGCATTGAAGAAACGCAGCGGGCCCCTTCCCTAGCTGGGGATCTCTGTGTGCCGCCCTGTCATTTCCTCTGGTCATTCCTTTGCTCATTCATCCAACCATTCATTCAAGTCACTCCATGCACATTTTCCAAGACTGCCTGTGACCTGGCCCTGTGCCGGGTGGAGCTGAGGATGCCAAAGTGAATTCCTCCTGTGCCCGGCCCCTGCCCTGGTCTGCTGGGAGAACTAGACACTGACAATCACATTGCAGGGAAACACGTGCTCCATCAGGAAAGTCCAGAGCAGGGGGGTGGACAGAGAGGGCCAGCGTGCACCAGAGCCTAGTTCGGGCCAGGAACCAGGCCTGGCCTGGAGCAGCCAACTGTGGGAGAAGGAGTTGGTGAAAGGTGGGTCCTACCTGGACTGTCTGCGGAAGGGCTGAGGGGTAGGGGGTGAGGGGTTGAAGATCAGGCCCTGCTGCCATGCCACATGGCTGTCCTCTGTCCCTGCCCCTGGGGGAGCTGAAATTGCATGGAAGGTCCCCCAGGGGTACCCCGTCTAATAAACTCGATGAAGAGGAGTGCTGCTCTCATTCTGCACTGTGACAGCTGCCCCTCCCTGAGGCCTGCACTTTCTCCAACATGGGAATCAGTCCTTCCATGCTTCCAGACCCAAGGTTCTGGCCCCAGTCTCTTCCTCCCCTAGGCCCAGGAGTCTGGGTCTGCCAACCCCATGACCAGAAGCCCAGGCCCCCAGCCCCTCCACCCTCAGGCCCAGGAGTCCAGACCCCAGCGCCTTCTCCCTCAGACCCAGGAGTCCAGGCCCCCAGCCCCTCCACCTTCCGACCCAGGAGTCCAGGACCGGAGAGACCAAGTTCCTCTTGCCTCAGATCAAAGATTCTGGGCACTAAGGCCCCTTCCTCTACCACTCAGAATTTGGGGTACCGAGGCTGCTTCTTCCTCAGGGCCCAAGACTCCCTGTATCAGCCCCTCCTCCCTGAGTCCCCGGGTCCTGCCTCCCACCCCCACTCCATGGTAACCCCAGCAAGACTGCCCCACTGGTCTGCTGCTGCCCAGTAGATTGGAGAGCTGGGACTCTCGCCGCTGCTCTTGACCCTTTGGGAAATCAAAGTACCATCAGACTCGGTCCTTTCAGACCCGGCCCCGAGCCCCTCCTCCCAGGGCTGCCTCCCTCCTCCCGCCTCATCCCCTTAAAATACCCGGGATCCCTATGGCAACAGGCGCCCGGCGACAGGTGCGGGTGTTATTTACGGGTCAAGCCCGAAATAGCCCCAAGGGTGGAGGGTGGGGGTGGGGGTGGGGGCGGGTGGAGGCCAGGCCGGTGGCGGTGGCGGGCAGGGCCGGACGCTTCGGAGGCAGCGCGGAGCTGGGGTCGGCGCGGCGCCGAGGCAGGAGAGCGAGGGGGGCCCCGGCCCGGGAGTCGAGGGTGGGAGCCCCGGGGGGGCCCTGGCCTGGAGCTGAGCCTGGCGCGGACCCGGCCGGGAAGGCCCTGGGAGCCCGGGGGAGGGAGGCGGACGCATCCCGAAGGGGCGCAGCGTCTCTTTCGGGTCGCGGTTGGCCTCGGACCGCGCGGGGGCCTCTGTCCGGGTTTCTGAGCCGCAGCGCGGACCACAGCCCCTTGGTGTGAGTCCCAGCGGGGATCCACCCCCCACCCTGAGCCCTCGGGGAGGCCCCGCGGCCTCCGTCTCTGGACTCCACTCTGTCTTCCAGCCACCGGGCCCTTTCCCAGCCTCGGCAGAGACCGCGGGTCTTTTCTGAATGGCCGGGGAGACCCCCATTCCCTTTTCCTGAATTCCAGCGGGGCCGGGTCCTCCTCTGAGTGGCAGCTAGGGCTCCATTCTTACCTTCTGTGGATGCCGGGGTCCCACTGCTTCTCCGAGACCCGGAGAGAATTTTCACCTCCCCTTGGGAGCTTCCCGGGACCCCAGGTCTTCCTTTTCCGAATCCCAGAGTGTCCCCAAGTCCTCTCTTCTCAAACTGTAAGCCCAAGGGAACCCAAGCCACTCTCCTGCAAACACACCGAGGACCTCAGGTCCCCTTTCTGGGTCCCCCAAACTCTTAGCCTTAGTGGGGTGCTCAGATCTCTCGGGAAAACCAGTTTCCCTTTTGTGAATCCCCCAGCAGGGACCCCAAAGCAGCCCCTGAGAGCTTCAGGGAGCTTCAGCTGGCACCAGTTCTTCCTCTGGAGCTCTTGGGGGCACCCCTCCTGGGAACCCAGGCTCCATCTGTAAGCCTGGGGCGGGGGACTTGCTTTTCCTCTGGTCCCCATCTTCTTGGCCAAGTTCTTCAGGGCAGCCTAGACCCTCCTCTGAACCCGAGAGGCTTCCCCAGCCCCGGGGATCGTTTTTCTGTTCTGAACCCCAGAGGCAATCTCGACTTTCCCACTTGAGGTTCCAGAGAGGACTCGGCTCTTCCTTTTTCATACCAAGGGGAAACTGAGTCCCTCACCCCCTTCAAGACCCCAGGCCGCTCCCCGCTCCCGCCCCTGGAGGCCCCTCCTCGGCTCTGCCTCCTCCCGCTTCTCGACCCCACGGCCAGAAGATGATGATGTGGTCCAACTTCTTCCTGCAAGAGGAGAACCGGCGGCGGGGGGCCGCAGGCCGGCGGCGGGCGCAAGGGCAGCTCGGGGCGGGGCTGACACCCGAGCGCGAGGGGAAGGTGAAGCTGGCGCTGCTGCTGGCCTCCGTGGGCGCCACGCTGGCGGTGCTGTCCGTGGGCACCGAGTTCTGGGTGGAGCTCAACACCTACAAGGCCAACGGCAGCGCCGTGTGTGAGGCGGCCCACCTGGGGCTCTGGAAGGTGTGCACCAAGCGGCTGTGGCAGGCGGACGTGCCCACGGGCAGGGAGACCTGCGGCCCCGCGGAGCTGCCCGGAGGTAAGTGGCCGCCCCACTGAGCCCAGGTAGACAGGGAGGGAGAGGGGCCCGTGTCCCAGGAGAAAGTCCGCCCCAGGGACGAAAGCCTGAGCTCCAGGAGGAGAGAGCTTGCATCCCAGTAAGTGCCGGTGCCCACATTGACCTCTGCTCTCAGAAACTGCTGAGAGAGAGAGAGAGATCTGAGAGAGAGAGAGAGAGAGAGAGAGAGAGAGAGAGAGAGCTCCCAGACACGGCCTAGGCCCCTAACTGGCTAACCCCCAGAGAACCTGTGCCTTAGAGCTTGCTTTCCTGCTACAGACTGTACCCCAGGACCAGAATGTGCCTGCAGGGAGTCTATGCCCCAGGCCATCCCTTACCCCTAGACCAGGCTGGGACCTGAGACCCTCCTAAATGAGGCTGTACCCCTATTCTATGCCTCTAAAGAAAGCCTGTGCCCCAAGACCACTCTGTGTTGCCAAAGTAGTCTGTGTCCCAAGACCATCCTGTACCCCAACTATCCTGTACCCCCAAATCAGCCTGTCTCTGCCTACAGTCTCCATGCCCCCCCAGACCAGCCTGCATGCTTCCTCCAGCCTGTGCCCTCAGATCAGCCTGCACCTCCAGACGAGGCTGTGGTTCCAGACAAGTCTGTGACCCCCCAAAGACCCTGCACCCACACCGCCAATGTTCCTAGTCATCACTTGGTCCCCCCCCCGAGGCCAGTCTTTGGCTCTAGAGACAGCCTGTGTCCCTAGAAAAACCTTGCCTGTGTCCCCAGACACAGCTGGTGTCCTCAGAGAGCCAGTGCCCACCCCAGGCAGCCTGTGCCCTCTGGAAATGCCTGCACCCTGGAGACAGCCTGTGCCCACTCTGCATGTGCCCACACACAGCCTGTGCCCTTGGAGAGGCAGCCTGGGATCTTGGTGTCAGCTTCCTCTTCACAGCCTGGAGACAGCTTGCACTCCCATCCTGTGAGCCCCGGGGGAGACAGACGCCCACCCCAAAGCAGAACCTATGCCTGTTCCCCACCGACTGCTTCCACCAAACCAAGCTCTCACCAGACACCGCTCCAACGCCCAGGCCAGACCCTGTGCCTTCCCTGCAGTGTTCTTCACTTCTTGTCCTCTTGCCTCCACATGCCCAGACTGGATATTTCAGCATTTTCTCATTTTCTCTGAGACACACTTCCATGCTCCTCACTTTCCCAAATAGTGGCTGTTTTACCCCTGGGGATGCCGAAAGCTGTCCCGTACCTCCCTGATAGGACATGCCACAGCTTGTACTTATACCAGGGGGATATTCTATACCTCTTGGGACCTGGAGGAAATCTCGTTCTCCTCCACTGACTCCCCAGAGCCCATTTGGGCCATCGCATATTCGATCACCCATATGAGATCTCCAGCACT